CTGTGGGTTGCAGAGTGTGGCTGCTTGATTGACTTGTGATCTGATTAAATCAGAGGCCTGATCAACACCTTTGTTCTCTTTGCTCCTTGTTTTCTCCTTTGGTCCATTCTGGAGTTGTTTTTGCAGTGTGGCAGGGTGGGGCTACTACTGTTGGAGAGTGTCTTGTGTTTGGTCTGGACAATGTTTAAATGGGTGGTATGTGAAAGCCACATGAATGCCAGGACCCAAGGTTTCTCAGCAGAACATTGTATTGTTGATCAGTGTCTTTTCACTTCAACTGTCGTTGGTGGTTTTAATGTTGTGGCTAATTGGTCTACTTGCTTTAGCTTAAGTCCCTGAACTTTCTGTTTCCACCTGAGTTAAATGGAAGTTACTCATTTGTGAGGTTCACAGCATTAAAGTTGCAGTAGGCAGAACTCCGGAAAAGGCAAAAATGGCAGATTTGAAAATGTGCAGTCCTTCTCCTGCAGCTCTTTCCTCCCCAACACAACAGCTTGAAACTAAAAGTCAACATTCATTTGTGGATTTAAGGATTTAGAGCCCAAACTCCCAGTTGAAGGTCTTTTATGTAACTCATTGCATACCACGTCCTGCTCTCAGTGTGAATGTTGTAGCTATTTTACCATCTCATCTGATGGTGAAAAGCTTAGCCAAAGTTCCTGTTACTGACTCAACTGTATAAAGCCCAAAATCAAAGCCAGGAGGAGGTGCAGAAGCCAAGTTTTTCTCTGAGTAAACTTGGATTACAATAAGCGGAAAGGTTAGTATGCTATTTTTGTCCAGTGATGTCAAAAAATACTGCCTACACCTGCTTTAATTGATTCCATTCTAGGTTCCCTGGAGCTCAGTTTGGTATCATAAAAAGTAGTTCCACTGAAGATTGTTTACAGTGACATCTGTTGGTTATCCACCTTAACCAGGACATGACAGATATCTCAAAACCATATGCATTACGAGATGCCGCAGTTTTTTATTTATTTATGTTTTGGGGGTTGTTAACATTTGAACCTTTGAAGACGACATGCAGGGCCCGTCACTGTACTGGAAAATTACTTTAGTGGTTTTGAAGGAGATGTAGAGCAACTCAGTTTAAGCCACACATGCACACAGCTTGCTTGACTGTACCATTAAACATGATCGCTCCTGTTGGCTGTTGGATCATACCAGGCTTGCTCCATAATGACATTCCATAAAAATGAATCATCCCGGCTCTCTGCCTCCTCCCTCACAGGAGGAATGTGGGTGGTGAGTTATCAGAGAGCTGGCATTGATACCAGCTGTGTTAAGAAGTCTGCCATGGCTGATGCTTCTGCTCGTCTTCCATTGTACAGTACATCTGTGTCTAACCTGGATGAGCCAGAACTGGATGTACTTCTTCGCCGCGAAGTATGAAGCCCTCACCTTTATCTGCTATTTGTGGAATCTGAAAAAACAGACTGCGTTTGATTTAGAATCTGACTGAAAGAAAACAGTGTCAAAGGGTATTATTCTGTACATTTAGGAGAGCCTCATTGTTTTTGTTTTTTTTTCTGTGTCCCTGCTTCCTTCAGCCTCTTCCCCAACTTCTGTGACCTCAGTATCATAGTGATTAAACAATTCTTTGCATGCCTGAACTGCTCTCTTACATTATGATTCTAGTGTTGCAGGAATGTTATCAAGGTGTTCTGGCTCTATCTCTGCTTTGTTTCTTCTTTGAGGTAGTTCAGACATATTCTTAAGACAATTATCATATAATAGGTGGTTTTGATTTTGCAGTCAGGGCAAGAAGTAAAGAATGCAAGTTGAAATGATCTTTAGAAGGTTGAACCTGATCTGGGACTGTCTCATCCACTATGCAGGAGACATTTCTGGACAGCTCTCACAGAAAAGATCAGGGAAGCAGTTGTGCATTGCAGTCTGAAGTATTGCAGCTCACCAGATGTACGCCTGTATAACTGACCAGTTAGTGTTCATTCTCAGTTGCTGCTGTTGCAACACTAAAAGAAAAGTGTTTGCTGACACGAGTGATAAAGCAACTGGGCTTGTTGTTGCCCCCTTTGTCTCATCACATTATGCCATATTGTGAATTGAATGAAGTAAGCAGGCTGTAACAAAGCAATGGACAGTTGGTACAGCTGGTCCACACATCATGTTTAATTGACATTACTTTTAAACATTGCAGTGCTTCAACTGCTCTCTCCTTGTTTTTCTTGTACAAACTTGCAGCATTATTTGTCTTGACCTGGGATTTAAAGGTTTTCTGATCAGGGTTTGGTCCTTATAAAGGACAGTGTGTTTTCAGATGTTGTGTGCATTTTAAATTTTTCTAAACTTCTTTCCTTTTGGATTTAGGATCTGTAGACCTTGTAGACAGGCATCTTTTCAAAGCCTGCTGCACCCTTTCCCTTGCATTTGTGTTATTTTCTTTTTCCTTATATTTGAATTTATATTCTATGGTGTGTTTTTATGTTCTGACCTCAATTGCTTTATTTCTTTGTGTAAAGTACTTTCTGATATTCCGCTCTTGGAGGATGTTAATAAACACAGCTACTTCCTGTGCTGTCTTCCGAGTGTTAACATGAAAAAATACAGTATATGATGGATAAGTATGTGCAGTTTTCCTTGGGTTACAACTTTGTATTTCCATTGTTGATCAGAAAATTTCCAGAATCAATTCTTGGTAGTCTTTTCTTTATCCTTAACCCTGTGATCGTACTTTACAAGGTGATGAACCAAGGATTGCACTTCAAGTTTAGTTGTCAGTGCTGTACTGGTTTGAAATTTAGCAAAACAAGATCACAATCAAGAGATCCATATTTGCTGTGAGATTTAATCTCTATATCCATCCTGTTCAGGAAACTGGAGAACAAAACAGACAGAGTAAGTGTGGTCTACCTGAGAAGACAAAACATTCATGTGAATTTCTGTGAATGCTGCAGCTGCTCCCCTATTTACTGTAAGTTACTGTGTTTAAACATTTTCAATTGTCAAGGCATTACTCCACAGTGAAAAACTGGGTCACTGAAACTGAATGAAATATAGGTGCCTTAAATTTGTGTGTTCTGAATGTGAATCATCACTCTGTTGTAATCCATGCATAAAAACAGAATAAGGTTTCTACTTAGTTGCAGACAGTCTCTGTGTTCCATGTGGCGCCTCCACGCTGCTCCATCATAGCTGAGGGCTGTGAAAGCAGAAAAATATGATTCCAAGTAACTTACCAAGTCTCATCTTGATTTAATCTCTTATCTCTCTTCATATGACTCTGACTCACTGCTTAAATATTGAATAGAGTTTGCATAGATGTTGCCCTACATTTATACCAGGGATTTACGACATGGATTCTCTGAGTGCAGACTCCGGGTATGATTTATAAAAATCTGATCCTCCACCAAATTGACACAGAGAACGTTTCCCCTGAGAGACTTCCCCTTAGATTTTTTTTAGGCAACAACTCTGGGTTGGCCAGTGTTGGAGCCTATCAGGAAAAGAACAACAGCAATAAATGTCACCATGCCATTGCATTGACGCAGATGTGGGTATGAAGCTTGTTGCAACTGGTTCTATGGCCGGACTTTTAACATGATGTAAAATCCAGTGACAAATGAACCACAATGCAAATTCCTTTATCAAACTGCAGCACAATGCAAATTCAAGTACCGTATACGGAACAAATCACATGCAAATTCCATTAGGCACATAATATCACAGGAAGACTCTGCTTCTCTCTACTGCTTTCAGAGTTCTGAACTCATTTCTTAGGTAAGATAATACCTATATTCTAATTCTTTGATCAACACTGCAAGGCTTAAGGCAACAATGCCCTGACTTCCTATGGCGGAAGAACTGTAAATGCTAGGAATTTGCAAAATGAGGAAAATTACAGAAGGGACACAGGAAGATGTTAGAGAGGGGCGATGTCTGTGTGATCTTGGAGCTGGCCAGGTGATTCGGTCACATCAGGTCTGGTAGAGTTGTGGTTGAAAGAGGGGAAATAGCAGCGCAGCTTTGGGCTGACTGCCATTTAAGACAATGGACCTCCTTAGAGATGGAGTTTCCTTGAATTGTGTATAGTTTCCACATTGTGAACGAAAATACAAGCACCTCAGTGGTGGTTTTTCCATCATGGCTACCCTGGTACAGAGTTCCCATCAGAGAGTAGCAGGTGATGCGTCAGAGGGAGTAATATAGGCCCTGTGGGAGCCCCAGTGAGCAGTATGTAAAACTGAAGGTAGTGCAAGCTTTGAATGGAGACAGTGGTCCACCTACAGGACATGAATACAGGAAGGTCGAAGTAGCAGTTTAACAGCTGTCAGTTGGATGATTTCTGATAGCTGTTTAAAATGCTAATGTACACTTCTTTACAGTTCGTATACTATGGTATTAAATGACTGTACATATGTAGTGTGGAATTGTAATTCCACTTACATGTCTATTAGCAAATGTCCTGCACATCCACACATGGGTTTTCATTTTTAAAGATTATTCTGCCAACCTACCATAGCATCATCTTTAGCAACATGAAGTCTGAAGGTCCTGGCAGTATCCATCAACCAGTAGGTAGCTTCTGTTGCTGCAATGGATGTTGACCAAAACAGGTAAGAGAGATCGCAAAATGTCAGTTAAGCTTTCTGCACACACATACCCCGAATTAAGTATAAGAGACACCCCCTGTGAGGTTGGACCACAGAGGCTTTAATTAACCATCGAATCAACAACTCGGCTGTGCTGTACAGTAGGCCTAAACAATAGATCAATTTCAAATCAGAATCACGATTAGAAACAGTGTAGGAAGTGACTAAGGTTGTAATTCAGTTTTATTTAATCTGAGAAGATTAAATGTTCAGAGGTTGTTTATGTCCGTTGATCAATGTAAAGTCACGCACAAAAGTTTACCTACACTTGTAAAGACCGTGCACATCAGGGCAATCTTGAGTTTTGAGCGACTCCTATAGCTCTTAATTTTCTCTGTTGGAATCATCAAAACATGTCTTTGTCACAAAAAACTATCACGCATTTTGTTTTGTTGATAGATTTATTATAGGTATTCTGGAAACATGGGTAAAAAAAAAGAAAAAAGATACATACAGCAGCTTGAAATATGAGTTTTGTTGATGTTAGTGTTGTTACATTTGTCTTAATCAAACTTTGTTCTTGGCTTGGCTTCTTAACTTCCCGCGAATAAATGCGACCTACTTCAACTTATGACTCCTCTGAGCCAATTTCAAATAGAGCTCATTTGATTCCCTCAGCAGACTAAGCCACAAACACTACAATGACAAGTGTACAGATCTGAAAAAGCAAATCATTGACTCAAACAAGTCAGAAAGGTTACTTGGAGCCATTTCAAAGCAGCTCAAAATCAATTGTACAAACTAAGTATCAAGCGCAACACAAACTATCACCTTCTGCTGAGAGACAATTGGTCAGGATGGTCAAGAGTCAACCAAGTATCATCAAAAAGCAGGTCTTTAATGAATCAGAAGCTACTAAACACAAATGCCAGTTTCCACAAGTCGAATGTGTTTTATATCACCATGGGCTGAGAGGCTGTCATACAAGAAGGGAGCCCTTCTTCTGGAAGCAGCACATTATGGCTCAACTGAAGTTTGCTTTTGAACACACGACAAAGAAAAGGCCTTCTGCGGGCAAGAATTAAGTTTTTAGATTGGTCTCCCAAAATTCCTGACTAAAACTCCATCAGGAACCTGTGTAATGTGATGAAGAAACAAGGCTGTGTTAGAAAGCCAACAAATTTAGGTAAACAGTATCAACTCTGTCAAGAGAAGTTACAAGTTTATGCCACCAGGAACACTGGATAAACAAAACGGGCCACATCACCAAAACTCATAATTCAAGTTGCTGTGCGTCTTATTGATCCAGCAGATTTTGTCATTTTTCCAAAAGACCTAGAAGTACAAATGGCAACAGAAGAGCTAAAATGCATGGTTGTTTTTTTTGTGTGTGTTTAAATGATTACGACATAGGAAATTATGAGCTGTCAGCAGCTATTGGAAACTTAAGACTGCCATTACATGCACAGTCTTTACAACTGTATGTATACTTTTATACACGACTGTATACTACGTGAATAAGGGACTGTGGTTTAACGATCGAAGCCTGACTTCACTCAAACAATTCAGTCTTGCAAATCAGATTGCAATATGTCTCTTAAAAATCGCAATTAGATATTCTCTTCAAATTGTTCAACTCTACTATACATTATTTAACACATTTAGCTGATTCTCAGGATGTTGCTTTTACTGCAATTGTTGAAGAAAAAATATTTTATAGTGCAGTTTGTTCCTTAAAATGAAAAGCTACATGGCACAAAAATATTGAAAGAGAAAGGTTTTATGTGAGACTTTATGTACTGTTTTAAACCTGCTGCTCTTCCTATGCAACAGCTGGACAGTAGGCAGTAAACAAGCAACAAGTTTTTCACATAAGCTCTAATAGAGGCAATAATAGAGGCATCAGCTTCTAGAATAAAGTCTGCACTGCCAAGCTGTCAAAATACTTGTCCCTCTTTGCAAGTATTTTCGCTCTGGTTCCTGAAACTATAATTACTGTTTTGAGCTTCATGAGGAAGTAGTTATTTTACATCATCAGTAGCCCAGTGGGTGGTACATTTATAATTTACACTTATGACTAGACTTATAATGAACACATTTTATTTTGCTTGTAATGTTTATTCATCAGTAGATTTTTATTTCTACCCACTACTAGATACCACTTTCTTGATCTTGATCTAATTATAGAATAACTAATGAAAAAAACACCTGTACAGTCAAATGCAGTCTAATAACATGTCTAGAGGGTGTACTAGCTATACTCTGATATACTGTTGTCAGAGTTGGGGCAATTTCCAAATCTCTCGTTGAAATCCAGGCGTTGAATTGAATCAATAACTTAAAATCAGCTGCAAACTTTGCGAGTCATTACTGTTTTAATTACTGAACCCTTAACGTGCAAACATTGCTTGTAATACTGATGCATAAAGAAGAATGAGTATCAGTAGTTTTTTTTGTATCAAGGTTACAGTATAAAGTGACACAACAAATCAACAGTAGGTTACTCAGGAATGGAACAGCAGAAATAGCACTTAACAAACATATGTGTAACAAAAAAAAAAATCTCATCTGTAAGTATATAAAACAGTGCAACAAAATCATCCAAAAAACTCTTAGGCTGAAGACAAAAATGGACAGTAGAAGTTTGGGTGTCACTAATTCTGAGACTACAAGACGTATCAGCACTGCGGTCTACCATGGACAGGCAACCCAAATACTAATGGGCTCCTTGTTAATGTAAATCTCTACATGAGAGGTATCAGGCACTATTTCATGTTACACAACTACAACCCATCTCTGCCCTTGTGCAGCTGCAGTGTTTGTTTTCTCTGGTCTGGATTTAGTTTTAGCAGAACCCGTCCTGGTTTCACAAGTGGTCATGGAGGAGATGAGGGAGTTGCTTTGGCCCTCTAAGCCACGGTTTTCTTCTTGCACTCTACAGAGCAGAAGAGGAAGTTCTGCACTGCCATGAAGCGTTGGCCGATCAGGCACTTGGAGCAGCCGGAGCACTTGAAGCACTGCGGCTCGGCGTGCCAGTGGTGCTCACCGTAGGAAACTCTCTGGGCCTCAGGCTCCACCGCATTCTGGCAGGCTGAGCATTTCTGGGAAAAGGGTGAAAATAATGTAAAGTCACATAATGCCTTTTTAATCAAATATTTTACATTTTAATTTTTTGCTATGTATTTTTTGCTTTATTTAAGTTGTTAATTTATGCTCCAGTATTTTTTCTTTTCTTTGTACTTTCCTCACTAAAACGCTGTCAAGCCCCACTATAGTCACACAACATATATAAGTACAATACACAGAAAAAGACCACTGTTGTCAGAGTTGGGGCAATTTTCTTCTTTTACTGAAGTTACTAAAAACGTAATTGAAGTTTTTTAGTCTTTTCATCCTGTATATGTATATATGTATATGTGTGTGTGTGTGCGTGTGCGCATGCGTGCGTGCGTGTCCAAAAGTGCACTTAATACGAGGACATATATTAAACCTAAACAAAATGTTCAGCAGTAGTAAAAAGATTACCCTCTTAATACTTAAATATTCACACATGAAGGCAAATATGAATATGAAGTTATATAAAAACAGTGGCTTTGCCAGAGACTATGTTGGACACATCCTGTAAACACAATTAGTGTTCTACATTTTGGCTTTGGGTGGCCACCATTCATTTACAATCACTCTCTTTCTATCAGTTTTACACTGAAGTCTGTTGTTCAACTTGTACAAGGCCTTTGCCTGATGACCTGTGACCCATAGGAATCTTGCTTTGACTAACACATTTCAAGCAGGCCTGCTACAGCACCCTCAAAGTATAAGAGTAGAGTGACAATTGATGCTTTTTCAACTTTAGGAATTTGAATATCAAATCAAACCAATCAAATCAAGTTTATTGTCATTTTGCTGTATGTACACAGTAGTACAGGCAAGATAAGAGAGCGTTTCTTCAGGATCATTTAATTAGTAAGTTTTGTGGAATGCACGTCTGGGATAAGACACTAAACGTTCACTGTCGCTGTCTCCTGAAGGGGCCGCTGCATCCATGCGCACCACCATATATGAGATTAAGATACAGTTTGACAAAAGCCTAGACTGGCTTTTAACTTTATAAGCACATGCATTTCGTTCACAGCCCTTTGATAATTGTACGTAATCCAGTAAGACAGCCAACTGTTTTCAGTCTTCTCTTCACCAGGTAAAACACACATCTATTGACTGAGCAGTTTCAGGCCTTCCTATTTTTGTAACTAATACAACTGGCAGTGTGTTGGAGCTGTTGTCTTCTTGCAGGATGAAGGTCCAATCAATAAGATTGGAGGAATTACATTCTACATAGTCAACAAACCAAATGCAACATGTTTTTCTGTCAGAGACAGTTGTGTGGTCTTCATGTTGATGTATACTTTTTTGTTCCAGTTGCAATGTTAACAAACAAAAGCACAGACTGAAATGAAAGCTAGACAACCACTGCACCTTTGTCAACAGTCCATGAGAAAGCAAACACTTGGGCAACAAGTTCCACCAGTCAGTCAGTTTTTAACTGATTTTAGGACACTTGACAACACAACCTGGCCATTTCTGTTAAAAGAGTGAGCTGCCAATCAATGAAAATTGATGATCACTCCTTTAATTTTCTATTCTATTCTTATGATCTTTTTCATCTTTTGATTTCAAACCCAATCTCTAACATAACTCTGCTAGTAACATACTTTTGGAGCAGACTTTCTGCAATCTTCACTGAACAGGAACATTATATTCTGCGAGTCTCACTTTCTATTTTTGATATACCAAGATATTACTTCTATTATTACACTGTTCAAAGTCAGACACTTTAAAGTCCTATGCATGATTGAAGCATTTATTTTGAGGGAAATATCCTGTACATTCTATACATATGTGTATCAAAGACACATTTCCTGTACATCAGAACAAGACTCTGATTTGATTCACATTAGGGCCTTGCAAGCTGTGACCACCTGCCTAACATGCTGTTGGTCCTTTACATGCAGCCTTTGACCTGCTGAGACATGAACACTTCAAAACCTTTAAGGACGCCCTGTGGTATCTGGCACGAAGACGTTAGCAGCAGTACATCCATTACAATCTGTCTCCCCTTCTTAACACTGTCATTAGGTACTCACCACTGCTGACAGAGAGCAAACCCTTTTGCTTTCGGAGATGCTCCAACCCAGTCGTGCCCCAATAATAATTGTTAGCCCTTGTCAAAGTAACTCTGGTTTGTACCTGAGCATTTCACTCATGTTTAGTATGTTGACTACTAGAATCTACGGTTCACTTACAGTTTAATACGTCCCAGAACTTGACATGCGCCTTTGTCGTAAGAACATTTATGTTATTTGTTTTGTCTACAAATGGTCATAATGTTTTAGCTCACTAGTGTATTTAAACAGTATTAGAAACACATGTGAGGAAAGTCTCACCACAGCGTAGTTCTTCATGTAGCAGGGTTTGCAGACAGGCTTGTCGTTCTCCATAACGTATGTCTCTCCAGCCAGGATGCAGTCACATTCGAAACAGCAGAAGTGTTTAAGGTGCCAGTTCTGGCCCTCAGCCTGAGTGTACTCGTTACTGAAGATCAGCTGTGGACAGACACGTTTCAGAGTATAGATTGAATAAGTCTCAGTCATGACATGTGCCTGTATAATCTAAATTTCACCATGACACAATATAGAAACAACATTTGGACTTAAAAACCAGAGGGTTATCGTATCCTCTCTCACCTCATCACAACCTCCACATCGTGGCTTCTCGCTGTCTCCGTAGTGGCGTCCACAGTACATCTTGCCTTTTTTCCAGAAGTAGATCATGTCAACCAGCAGCTCATGGCAGGTACAGCACACGAAGCACGCCGGGTGCCACAGCTTGTCGTAGCCGGCCCGCTCAGCGTAGACAGCTGGCTCACCTGTACGCATGGGCTGCTGGCAATGATGGCACGACTTGAAGGGAAAGAAGAGAAGGACAGAAGGTTGGTACGGTTATGGATTTAGACTCTGCTACCAACAAAAATAGCAGAAATGTACCAAAAAAAGCAGATATCTTCCATTATATGGATATGTACACATAAAAAAGGAAACAAACAAAAAACTCTGTGTCAAAATAATCAGTTACATCTTGTAGTGAAAAAGATTCATACAGGTCATTTAGTCCTAACAAGTAATTATTATGCATTTCCAGTAATTCTCAATAGGTTTACACAAAAGGGTGATATGACATTCTTTGATTCCATTGAAAATTCAAGTGGGGCCTCCTTTGATCTGACAAAAGAAACACTTTATCTTTCGGCCTTTGATCCCTGTACTCCTTGAATGAACACAGATGTACAGCTGCTGTAACCTGACTATGGTGTTTTTAATTAAAATGAGATAACTGCTGTTCAGTGAAGACTTCGGTAAGTAAGACAGAAGAGAAAAGCAAGCTCCTAACAGCGTGCTGTTGTGGATACTTCGAGGAATGAAGAGGAAAGCTGAAACACAGAGTGTGGAAATCTGTTTTTGAAAATCAGAACAGCAGAACAATGAAATGAATGAGAATGAAAACTATGAGAAGCTAGTAATAGAAGAAAAAAAAAGACAGCAAAATGAAAAAATACATGGAAAAGAGAAAAAAGAAGCTGAGCATGAATGATGTTGCCTGGTGATCTCACTTCAGCTCTGCTACTCTTGCATAACCAGGGCTGCTTTTTGATCCAGTATTAAACCCTTTTTTTATACATGAGCCACAGAGAACTGAAAGCAAGACTAAATCTTTAGAATCCACACAGGAAGAATTAACGAACTGCATGTGAGTATGATGAGAAAAACTTCAGCTGTGACTCATGCTCAACTGTGAATTCTTTTGAAATCACAATCCATCACCCTAAATAGGGAAGGCTGGGTCAGAGTTGATGTTGTGGCTCCACCTAGTGTCCTTTTGTTTAGGAATAACACTGGTTCACTCATGTAATCACTCCCAAAAGGATGGACAAAATGAGTAGATAATTACAGTAATTTTGTCATTTAAGTGGCACATGCATTGAATATGACCTAAACTAGAGATTTAGTAGTTGTTTCATGTAAATGAAAGAAGTTATCACATCTGCAAAAAACATTTTTCAACTGTGATTCACAGCTTGGAGGTACAGACCTTCCCTAGTGGTCACCAAATAAACTGAGGTGGTCAAAAGATAATTAAAAAAGGAAAAAAGGAAGTAGTGAATTTTGTCTCGTTACTTATTTTTCTTTACAATCGAGGGGGAATTATGGAACTGTGATGAGGGGTCACGAGTACACACTTTTTGATTTCAGGGGTTCACAAGCTAAAGCTACCACAATCCATTAGCATTATCTCGCGGCAGACTGCTAAAGGTACAATCTGTGTAATCATCTTCATTACTAGTGCGGACGGCCATGAATAAAAAACTGATGTGACTGCTGTCAAAGCTGAGTATTAACAATAAAATACTGTTTGTACCTTGTTGTCACCTAACTATGACTGTGAGCACTGCTGCACTGATTTACTACCTCTGGAGCTAGGAGGGATAATGTTCAAAGGCACTTCCTGAGCCTGACCCTGTGTTTTCTCACTGTGGCAGGGTTTCCCATAACTATTCCAACCCACTATCTACTAAACTTACTGCTGTGTTCTTGGCTATAAAACAAAATGGTACTGTCTTCAACTGACTGATCACGGGGGGGAAAAATCTGCATGTTAATATCTAAATGGGCCACAGTGCACTGAAAGCAGCATGTCTATATTAATATGATGCCCAAAAAAATGAACTATATCAAATTGGGATCCTAGGACAAGAACTATTGAGAAATACAATGCAGACAAGCTAGCCTCGTGTTTTTAGATGATATATCATGTTGGTTGTTGAGCTGCGATATGCAAAACTGCTGTTGGCAAAGTTTACACTTGACTTTCTGTCTATCTGTTGGAACAAAATGCAGCCACACTGAAAACTTCTTTGACATGAATGTCTATTAGTTTGGAGCTGAATCTGAGTAAACTTTCACTAAACATTGAATAAGGTAGACCTCGCTGTCTCCATTTTGTTCCGTGAGTTTAAAGTTGTGTTAATGCAGGGGTGTCTCCAAGTAGTCTGTTTCTTTCATTGCTATAAACAATGACATAACCGTGGAAGGCCATTAGTGTAGCACTATTCTCCTCTTGAAGGTAACACTTGTAGTACATTTTCATTATTTACCACACCATATATTAAACTAGAATACAATGATAGTAATGGTTTCCCTCTTTTGCATAAAAAAAATATTTCAAATTTATTCTTTTCAACTTTCAGTGGACACTGAGCTGATACAGTCATGTAATGGTATCATTAAACAAATTTATCTTGCCCAAATGGATTATTCTGAATTAGCTTTCATCAAAAACTAACTTCCTTAAAAAACTAACTTCATATTTGGCATAATGCCTATGAAACACAGTATATTGATTTGATTTTTTTTGCCATTCTGTGACATATATCGGTATCAGAAAATATTATGTACATATTGAGACTATCCTTTCAATGTGTCTACCCTGGACTGGTTACCATTTTAGAGCAGGTGATCATGATCGTGACAGTAATGGAGACTGAAGAAAACACAGACTGATATGCATATAATAAACAAATATAGTGCAAACTACTTACAAAGTTCTGTTGTGGTAGTCCAGCTTGCTGAGATCCAGGGACGCTCATGGCTCCAGCAGTGGCAGTAGTACCCATGGCCCCTCCAGCTGGCCCAAAGCCATCAGAGGGTCCAATCCCAGGCCCTGAAAGTGGTGCAGCACCACCAGCTCCAGCACCAGCTCCAGCAGGTGCAAGGCCAACACCAACTCCAACACCACAGCTTCCAGCCACTGGCCCAGAACCAGAACCAGCCCCAGCAACCCCAACCCCTGGTCTATATCCAGCCCCTCCAGCTCCACCACCAGCAACAACATCTGCTCCAGGTCCAAACCCTGCCCCTTGTGCACCAGGTGTACCTCCAGCTCCAACACCGGCTCCAACACCGGCTCCAACACCGGCCCCAACACCGGCCCCAACACCGGCCCCAACACCGGCCCCAACACCGGCCCCAACCTGCCCTCCTGCCTTAACCAGAGCCATTTGCTCGGGCAGCATGACATCTCCGATCCCCAGGACCTCATCCTTGTACTTGCGAACAAACTGTTGCATTTTCTTGACCTCGGCAGGGCTCAGCTCGTGGCACTTGGATGGATCCTGGTCGTGCTCAGGCAGCTGACGGGCCATCTGCTGCCGACGGTAAGCTGCTCCCTCTGTACCAGCCACCGGACGTTTCTCTTGGGGGAGCAGCTCAATGTAGCGCACCGCCTGGGAGGCCGAGGAGGAAAAAGAAAATCATTTCAGTTTGGATGGTATAAAGGAAGAACTGTGAAGGACAGGGATGAGAACAGTAGAGAGATATTAGTTAAGGACCAATCAGAAAGCAAGTAAGGGGAAACTGTCTTGTCTTATGTGAGAAGGCAAGCAAAACATGGGCCCTGCAGATACAGTTCTAGACTAAACAAAGGCAAGAGTTTGAAAGACTGGCTGCGTTAATACCAAGGAGCAGATTAATGAGGTGGTGAGAGCTTCTGTCATTAAAAATTGCATGCTGTTTTTAATCATCAGCGCTTCAAAAATTAATGTAACTTTATAAAATGATTGATCAGATAAATGTGTCATTAGAATATCACTGGGTCCTGAAATGGACAACGGCTTTTATAAACAGCCCTTAAGTTTTTTATTTTTTTATTTACAAAAAAAAAAAAAAAGGTTCTAAAATTTAGATAGATAAAAAGCAGTTGTTTCATAGACAGCAATTACATGTTTGTTCTCTATTAATTATCTGGATTTAAATAGTTAGAAGGGACACAACCACTGAAAAAAAGGCAGAGACAAAAACGATTTTTTGGGTGATTGAAACAGGTGAGCTACAGGAATGTCCTCTATAGACACATCCTTAAACTTGTTCTAGTGCAAAACCATCTTTAGTTTACAGTATGAAACAGCAAACACCAGCAAACCATCACATGTGAAAAGTTATTCCTAAAATAGTTTTTGACTTTAAGAGGCATTGTATCACTAGTTTGAACTCTTACCAGATACTTGTTTGCTACTGGTGGTGCCCACTCATAGGTGACGGACTTCATGGGCACATCTTTGGGAACTGGCACTTTGTTAGCCTTGAGCGGTGTAACGCCAGCTGGTGTAGGCTGAACCTGAGGATGAGCCTGAGGATGAGGATGAGCCTGAGCCTGAGCCTGAGCCTGAGCCTGAGCCTGAGCCTGAGCGCTGCTTGGTGCCAAACCTGCAGAGGTTCCAGCAGGCTGTACAGAACCAGCTGTGGCAGAAGGGGGCACAATGGTGGAGGAGGCACTAGGTGGAACTGCATAAGCAGTGGCAGGGCTGGGCAGAGTGATGGTCACCATGTTGGCCTGGTACCTGGGGATGCCATCCGTCTTCAACTTGGCGATGAGGCCAGTGTATTTGGTGTCCTCGAACAGCTTGCCTACCTTCTTGTTCTCTTCCGAGTTCATCGACACATCATGCTCTGCAAGGCCACATTTGCAGTTTCGACATATTTTCCTGCACAGAAGAATGATAAGAAAACACTGAGAAGTTAGATTTTTCAAACATTTATGGGCTTATTTAGCATCTTTTTCCATATACTGTTTAAGCACTGAAAATATGTTAATTCAGAATTTTTACAGCCTTATTCAGTGTGGAACAATGTCTCCACTTTTCTAATTGCATATTCTTTATGTTATCCTCCTCTGTTGTCTTAACTGCACTGTAGTTTGTATTAAAGCAAACATGCTTTAATTTTTTTAAATTATCTTATTAAGTCAGTTGCAATCAACCACAACTCTCCCGTAATACTATGTCGACATGAGAAGCTCGGTGTTTGTTTCAGATATCTGCACTTTTAACATGCCTCAACACAACTGTCTTCATATCTGTGGAGTAATGCTGACATAATTTATGACTACAAGGCAAGCTCCAGCCTGACCAGCCCTCAGATTTCAAGCATGATAGGGAATAGTTCTTCCAGCTGTGTTGAACACGGTTTCAGTTGTATTTAAATGAGAATCATAATACTGTTCTATACATTATATATTCAATTGACTGATAGAGACCAACAAAATATCATTTTCATTATGCTTATATTAATGGATCTGAAAAAAACCTAAAAGCATGTGGGGCAGTATATGGACAACACGACTTCCCAGGGTCCTCTGTCTTGCTTACACTGTCTGTCGCAACATGTGCTCTTTATTTGCAGTGGCGACTCAGGACAAACAGTTCTGTTTGGACTCTACAATTATCCACACATGGCTAGTTTTCTTGAAGACAGCACCAGGTCCCGTGACACAGGCTGGAGCACCAGCACAAAGGCACACCACGGGTTTCTGGGGGTGGTCAGAATTTTTAAATGTCTGATGTCCAGCCAAGAATACTGTCCTGTTACAAGCCATGACCTTGCTGTAGCTAGCTGGACTACTTAAGAGTTGTTGACTCCATAACTATGACAATACTGTATTCTTATAGTGTACTAGGCTGAACACAAAAGTAATTAATGGCTCGGAGGGCAGGTGAGAGCCATTTAAATCTGCATTTGGAGTTAGAATCAGACCTCACCATGAAAACTCATCCCGTGCTCTCCAGTCAGAACCAATTAGATCAATATTCACTGGCCTAATATTTCCAGCACTGCTTTCACTATTGTTCACAATAAGTCTGTGACACATGGAACTCTGTGTTCAAAAACAAACATGAAGAGCTCCTGTTCTCAAACAGCATGTTCCTATTAGGCTGATGACTCCTGCTGCTGTTGGAGTATCTTTAATTAAGCAACCGACCAGACTGGGTCAATGAATTATGTTTTTGTGTTTTCCTTTTATTATTCCTGGAAGGGCATGCTGAATAGGCATGCTGTTTGTCATGACTGCTCTAGGTCACAATCATATACTGACAGGTTTTTTGGGGTTTTTTTTTACTATCGACCACTAACTATCCTCCCCTGAGGGTTCTGTGCTTTGCTCAAGAGAACTGTCATTTAGTCTTAAATTACACATGTGGCCCTAGTTTCATAAGGGAAGTGAAATTTACTCTCCACTGTGAACCTGTGCTACTGTAGAGAGAAACTGTACAAACCTCCAGAAATGCAGCTCAAAGCCCTCGCACTTGTCCTTGCATTTTAAACAGGCTGCTCCAGCGCCAAACTCGTGGCCAAGGGTCATCTGTAAACAAAGCACACAAGGGAGATTACAAAGGCTATCACAGTTTTCTTTTCCATCACAGAAGATGTACATATAACTGGGGGGGAAAAGTTTAAGTCATGATATAATAATAATGTACTGTGCATTCAAGACAAACGTTAGATTGGGACCTATATAGGACCAGTGGGACTTATCTGACACTTTGATAAAGTTTAATACTCAACATGGGAAACAACGACTCCTTTAAATTCTCTGGAGTGGCACATCTGGAGAGAAAGAGGCTGGCATCAACAATGACAGGAGCAAAAACTAATTTATTCTACTCTTAGTAGGATAAGCAAAAAATGTAATTTCCCAGTCATGCGGCAATGAAATACCACTTGGAGATTAGAAAGTTCTGACTTTTAAACATTAGCATGTCACATTTTGATGTCACTTTGATTTCTTGCCATGTTCAGGATAAATAAAGCAAATATTCTCACTGCATGCTCTCGAATGCAGTTCAGGTGTGTCATGACCCCCCCAAAAAAATGTCTCTCTCCTTGATTTAGGATTATTTATGAGCCATTTCTTTAAGTGAATAACATTCAGACATTCATCCTGTCCAGCTTCTTTGATTGGCAACTCTGCTACACTTCTCTCTTGCATCTGAGGTTTCACTGCCAGACATCACTCATGTCCACCTTAAGCCATTCCTGCTTGTTAGAACCATATATGGGCAACTATTCAATGATGCTGAAAGCCTCTTGGGATCCCAGGAGGCCCCCCTGCTGTCAAGCGAGATGTTTTTGACCCAAAAGACACTCACTGTAGAGGAATGCAGACAGTGACTCCTGTTTTCAATGGTGGAGCCTCGCTGCCAGAGTTTAGGCTTTTCCTGAAATTTCTGGAGTGAGATTTTCCTCCGCTGGGAGACGCTGACGATCACAACAATGAATTGTTGCAACATGATTTGTGATGACAATTAAAAGTGCCAAATCACGTCAGTCAATCTCTGTGAAACTGCACATGCACACCCCTTTCTCTTTTGCAGGCAGCATAAACATAACTGTAGAACTGGACTGGAAAACAAAAATTTGTCAAGAAAGAAAATGTTTGTTTTCTGGATTTCTTTTTCTCCAAATGGTACTTTCAGGATAACATTTGTATGTCCATCCATCCATCCATTATCTATACACTGCTTAATCCTCACTAGGGTCGCGGGGGGGCTGGAGCCTATCCCAGCCGACTTAGGGCGAAGGCAGGGGACACCCTGGACAGGTCACCAGTCCATCACAGGGCTACACTTAGAGACAGACAACCAAGCACACTCACATTCACACCTACGGACAATTTAGAATCACCAATTAACCTCAACATGTTTTGGACTGTGTGGGAGGAAGCCGGAGAACCCGGAGAAACATGCAAACTTCACGCAGAAAGATTCCAGTGGACGCGAACCGGCAACCTTCTTGCTGCGAGGAAACAGTGCTACCAACTGCGCCACCCTGCAGCCCACATTTGTATGTCCCTATTCTATTAAGTCCAGAGTATTACGTCTCGCTTGGACTTGTGTTTCAGTACAGACACCAAAGCAATACTGCAACTCAGGAGGACCAATGTCTAAACACAAGCAGCTGCACAAAACGTTGCCTAAATACACAACAATCTTTAAGAAAAAATGCATTGACATCATCTGTCTGATTTAGGTATGCGTAAACAAGATTACAAACCTGTGCTGTATTTATTGCTAACTATCAGTCTTTGATGCTCTTCACTGTGGCCACATTTCAGTTTATACAAGAGAAGTGTTCAGGCTGTTGCACCTTTTTTTACGAAAACTAATTGATACCGGCATGTTCATCTTAAAACTAAAACATCAGCTAAAACCCCTCAAATGAAAAGGCTTGAATAGCTTGGATTTAAGACAAAGCGAGATAAGTGGTCACAACTAGTGCAAGTCTAAATATTTATGTCAGACATGGTGAGGACAACTGGCCATTTTTGGCTGAGGTCACTCCATGTGTATATATTTCCTTGGAACACAGTTGTACCGTCTGCATTAGCAGTTGATGTTAATCAGTAACTTTGAAATTCTGACGAGGCCTGCAGGATGATTCAGTTTGGTGACAACACTCTGAAACAAGGCAGTTCAAACACAAAGTATACGACCCAGACCCAATGAGTCATGTTCATGAGTCACTGGGCTGCAGCAGGGCTGAGTTGAAAGCCAGTTGCGGCTGTAATGAAGGCTGTCCCTTAAATGTCCAGGTGGCCACCAGCCAGCCAGAACACACATCAATCTTTTAAAAATAAGCGTTTCTCCTGTTGTTTTCTGTCTAGTATGTCTACAGTACTTGACTCTTAGTGTAGTGCTGCAAACGGTCTGTTGAAAGTTGATAAAACAAAACTGGGTGTATTAAGATTCAAGGAGGCAGGGTTGAATTTTAGTCAAGGCAGCTGCAAAATTCACTTTTTTTTAAGTGGAAGCAGAACTTTCCTGTGTTCCTCCAGCAGTTGTTCAACCTCCTGAACCCCAACACCTGCCAGTGGGTTTCAAAATCATATTGTCTTTTAAAAAAAATATCAAATACCATCATGTACCAAAGCAACAGAAAAAAATCATTAGACTAACTTCCTGATGGTCTTTGAACTACTTCTGTGTGATGTACGGTGTCATCAGGAAACTCAAATCACATTTCATTAAATTCATATTTTACATGTTTTGTTTTTTTTTTTAAATGGCAAAAAAAAAAAGTTTGCTCAAACCACATTCTGTTAAAAACTAAAAAGAAAACAATGCTGTGAAAATAAGAAGCTGTTAGTGACTCAGCTCTGACCAAGAGTGATGTGACAACTATTCAGGGACTTTTCAGCTGAACAGGGCTGGTCCAGAGCAGATAGTAGACAAGTATGGAAACAGACTAAAACATGTAAGTAGTAACATATCTAAACTATGTACAGTCACCACTTTCTCCAGTAACACAAAAATGAAAAATGTTGTACATGTTGATATCAGTTTTTTTGTTTGTTTTAATTTTTGGAAAAAAATAATTTAAAATTTTCGACTTTTTCTGTTTCTTTTTTTTTATGATTTATGGCATTATAACTTTATGATACTGCCAAACAGCTTGGTTTTTAGAGGGTTACATTTCTTTTCATTTCTCAACAGTCATATCTTATCTGGGTGTGGTGAAAATGGAATACATTCATGCATTTCATATCACCACAAATATGAATTTGGTTCAGCCTCCTTGCTGTTGTTTTGGAGACAAATTTGATTTGCACAGCCTTGACTGCTTACTAGTTCATATCACAGAATCCTCTACAGGATTTAAGCAACAGAGAGGTCTGTGGATCAGGACACTCATATCTTCTGCACTTTCTTCCAAAAAATCTTGAATATGGAAGCTTAATAGTGATTTATGTTAGGGATACACAATGATATAGGCAACATAATCTGTGTCAACCTATATATTTATTTTTAAAATGAAACATCAGCACCTGCCCAGAATGAACATTGACAGGCAGAAAACACTGAGCATTTAAGAATTGAATATTTTGTTTGAAAATGTTACATAAAAATAAGCATACTACGCACGTTGAAGCAGTTTTCTTATTTTGCCTGTTGAATGTGTACATTTGAAAAAGATTGTATTTTATACCTGCATGTATCAGTGGGCCATCAAGGTAAGAGTTGGCATAATAATAAGTTAAAATCTACAACAAGTGAGACCTGATGCTCTGTGCAATAAGGTGGAAAAAAATGTGCATTCAGTAGCAGCAATACAACGAAATGAGCTGGAAAATATCAACATATTGGATATATGCAAACATCCAATATCATGCATCCCTCATGTATCTATTTAGGGAGGAAAATGACCCCCACCAAGGTCAAACTATTAAAGAAAGACCATCAGAAGCAACTTTAATTTAACACAATGCTAGTGCTGATGATTTCACAGCCTGCATGCAGTGCGCTCAGTCACAACCTATTACCTCAGCTGTTCATGGAAGAAGAGTGCCTGGGCCCAATTGAGGATAATGTTACCTTAACACACAGGTGGCCTGTCGTGAACAAGGGCCATTACAGTTTTAGCCTCTGGCTGATTGCAACCCTGCAGCCTCCAGCAGACAGAAACCCTGCAGCCACACCAGACTTATCTCCTCCAGGGATTAAAAACAGATGTCAGACTGGGTGTGTCTGGGTCACCCAGCTGCTCAGACCTACTTTTCAGCAGAAGCTAACTGTATATACATGCTTTCCCTGCTCTTTGATGGAGTTGACTTTGTTAGCTTCGTAACAGCAGGTAAGACCACTGATCAGCAAATGGAGTAGGACAACACCACTAGGCATGTGCTAAATTTTGGCTTTCTTTTAGGCTTTCTTCACTCTGGCTGAAAACAACCTACATGCTGGAGATCCTGCTCCCATCCAACACTGTAACTGTCAAAAGAGTAATAAAAGAATACCTTGTAGTGGGAGAAAATGGGCAGCAGGCTACATGTTACCTTGTTGCCACATAAGCACTATGGGTGTCATCATGTGTCTTAGCTAATATGAATTATCAGTCTCTGCATGTGAAGCAAGACTGATTTCCTGTGTAGACAACATGATAACTGTATTCTGAAGTGACTGAAGTCAAAGTGATGACAAATTTAAGTTGCATTTTATTAAGTGAACTTCCTTCCACTTCTGCCAGGTCTGTGCAGGTCTGTGCAAGGACTCAGGTGAACTCCACAGCTCAAATTACCAACAATTACAGGGGAACTGGTGCAGGAAAGGGTCCCAGGCCTCCAAAAGGAGCTTTTGGGACACCAATACTCAGCAGCTTACAATGTTTGCGTGCTTAACAGGCAGATGCAAAAAGTCCATAGCCAAATGGTGACCTCTGGGATTCAGCTGTTTTCACTACATGAACCTACACAAGGAGTTTATAAGCACACTGTCAAACATCATAAAGATCCATGAATCAAAAGTGGTCAAAGCAGAAGGAATCCAATGTATGCAAACAGGGATGTGCATCTACAATGACCTATATAATATGGAATGTATGACTAGTCACTGTGCAAAGTGTTGGAAATGTGAGACTGTCTGAGACAGTAAAAGTCACAATGCAGACAGGATGACTTGTTTTCTTCCCTTCCTGGCCAAATCCGGTTAAAATCCCCTTAGTTTTGCAGCATTTCGCTTAAAAGCTCAAACACATAAAAGTGATAAATAACTTAATGTCTTGGAAGCATTGGTGAGAGAAGTCCTACAAGTAGGCAGCTGTCTAAGTCAAACAGAAACATTTACTCAAGAATAAACTAACTGGTTTACATGTTACTGACACTCACTTAAAATGCAGCTGTTGAAGGTATAAAGCACAACATTTAAACACTGGATCACCCAATTTCATAGCTAATGGCTATGCCGAATTTAGAAATGGATTCCGTTGTTTTACTAAATACTCGATAATTTGTTAAAGAGCTTCAGAGTTTTTTTTTTATACGAAGGGTGACACTATATTGCGAATATTTCAAACGCAGTCTGCCGTGGAGTTCCTTCAGGTGGGAACTAAATCTTAAAGGAAAGTGAAAGGCAACGAGGCTGCTCATTTTGTACAAACTTCCAACAAGAACTTGATCATAATTTCAATTGATTAAATTGGCGTAAGTGCGCTTTTAGTAAACGTTTTATCAACGGAAATGCAAAAAAATATGACTATCAAACGAGTACGAAACTTGACCCGATACACAAACCATAACGTCGGACTTGCACCGTAACTTTTCTCGCCACCTGCCACGCGCTCGGCACACCTTTCAGGGCGTTCCCCGGTCAGCCCGGGACACCGACGGAGAGCACCGAGGTGGGGAAAGCTTACCTTCTTCACTTCCTTCTCTATTTCCATTTTTGTGTCTGTCAGGGCGAAGTTTTCTCTGGCTTCAGGGGCTTCTCCAGGAAGAGCTGTCAACAACAAACACTGATAAAACACGGGCCGGACATGTAAAACAAGCCCTGCTTCCCTACTGCTCGCCTCTCGGAGGTCCTGCTCCCACTACTGTCAAGTTAAGCAGAATCAATCACATCACATCCGGTCAGATGTTTCAAAATAAAACAATTCAGTTCGCATATTAAGGGAAGTTGTTTTTCTGTCAAGTGTGAAAGTGTATGGAAAGTTTTTACGTTTAAGTTCTATCGTGCATTTGTGTAAGTGATAATATTCAAACTGATTTTATTACTTAGAAACAGTCATTCAGATCCTTGTATACTTCCATACGTTCAATCATAATTATTGTAGTAATGTAATCGTCATACAATATCAGCCTATACAGTAACATGCAACTCAAACTACGACAAACAACATTAATACAAGCTAACGTTATCAAAACCTGATGATCTAGCTTACCAAGATTGCAATGTACACACTATCTACATCTAAATTTAATTTGATTCACACCACACTACAGCTGTAATTACTTTACAACTATGTTTCATACACAACTGTGTGGAATACAATTTTGTTGCTGCCATCGTTCGCTCTTTACTATAATAGCAGCATTGCCTTCTTTCCGGATAGATCTTCGTTTCTGCTCTCCAGCTTGACGCAGCTTTCACTCTGGAGGTCCCGTTCACTTTTCATTGATATTAAGGTGGGAAGACTTCCGCGTTGATAGATTTTTATCTAAACCAATAGGAACAGAGACAACGAGCACTAGCGCGCAGTGCAGCCAATCAGCGCACAGCAGGGGCGTGTCCATGGTAACAAAGGACGTGTTCGTATTTTGACACATTTAACCTGCTTTAGTCACAGTCTGTGGCTGCAGTACGCACTCTCAGTGTGCTGTTTTTATTCCCTCCCCTTCACTTTCTTGGTCCTCACATGATGTTTGACTTATTTTTAAAGGCACATTGTAAAAAAAAAAAAAGAAAAGAAAAGAAAAGAAAATAAACAAACCTGAACCTGAAATGTTCATGATACCATTGAACTATGAAAAAATATGCCCTTGTGTTATTAAATGTTTGTTTTTGTATTCGTTTTGAATGCATAGCAAGGACAGAAATATTCCTGGGACACACATACAAACACACACCACACATCACAGCTGGTCTGCTTTGTAACCTGCTGTTTGTGGCCTTTACAGAAGTGCCTGTCAAACAGCTGCAGTGTTGCCTCATTGACAGGAAATAATGGTGGTGAGCAGCTTCCTGTGTGCTGCTGTTGGCCTTAGCAAAGGAAGTGACACTGTCACACCCTGACAGGTCATGTATGGTCTTATCTGTCAGGATTTGATGAGTGTGTAGGCAGTTTTTTTCAGTAACTCTCCTTCACTATGATGTCTGGAAAGTCTGTAAACTCTCAGGCAGCTGATTCCCTGATGTGGTTGATTCAAAACTTAATCAGCCTCATCATGTATTATGAATCTACAAAATGCTGCACCCCTTTTGAGTCCAAAAAGTGACCTGAAAACATCACCCAATTAGATCCTGAACCAGGGCTGTACTGTGGCTCGGTGGTTAGCACCGTCGCCTCTAGAAGTGACAAGATCCTTGGTTTGCATCCCGGTTAGGATGTCCGGGATCTTTCTGCGTGGAGTTTGCATGTTCTCCCTGTGTAGCGTGGGTTCTCTCCAGGTTCTC